CCAGCATTAGGGCAACCAGTGCAAACACAAATACAGTTATAATCATATCATTTACAATCAACTTCTGTACATTGCCCTACCATAAATGTAAGATATCTACGGTGATGGAGGGCTATAGAAATATGAAAATATGCATCCCGAAAGTCAATTGTCGCAAACCATGCCCCTTTCGGAATTAGGGGCAAGATTGAGGACAATGTGACCATACGAAACTTCTTTGGGGTTATATGCATATTCAAGGCTCTGAGATCAAGGATAGGCCGGAGTCCACCACCACGCTTCTTAATCAGGAAGTACTTTGAGAAAAAACAGAATTTAATATTTGATGCATGTACAGGGGAAATGGCTCCTTTTTGAAGCAACATATTAACCTCTTGTAACAGGGGGGAGGAAACTTGGGTTTTCTTAACATTGCCTACCCTGGGTAGGTCATCAAACTCAATACAGTATCCATGTTTAACAATAGATCTCACCCATTTATCATTAGTAATGCAACACCAATTATAGTAAAATTTAGATAATCTGTTACCAAACATAGGAGTCGAAGAACTCATAGAAGAAACAGTCGTCTCTGTAGATACAGTGACATTCAACTCAACATGACCAACCAGATCAACTTCAAACTTTCCCTCGTCATTTCGTATACTATTGACATCAAAGACGCTTCTTTTGATTGAATTGGCCCTTGGGTTTATTCTGATAAGGTTGTGCCCTATTCCTCGGGAAATAAGAATTCCGTTTTCCCCCTTGAAATCTTGGGGAACCATTAGCCCTATTTCTGAATGGGCCTGTATAGTAGGTTCCAAATGACCTATGATAGTTATTAGATGGTTGCTGCCACCTAGGCCTTTGCTGCTGGAATGGTTGCCACGTGTAGCCGAATTTATTAGCGGCTTGGCGTACATCTTGTTTTTGCTTAATGTTGTCATCCGTCTCTGGGTTGAAAAGCCCAGCCTCATGAAACGGAAGATCTTCCGCTAGTGCCTTTCCTTCATCTGACAGATTTGACGCACGTAGCCATGCGTGTCGTCTAATCGCTGTTGCCGTTGCAAATAAATTTCCAGCAGCCTCTGCCAAGTGTTTAGCAAAGTCTTTCTGGAATCGCGAAAGGACAATTGCCTCTGCCTGGATGGCTCTGGGTAAATGCTGGTTTTCTCTAGGAAGGGAATCAATATGAGGTAATATTTTCCCCCATAAGAAAGTCTGATACCCACTCATGTACGTGGCAAAGTGGGCCATACGGGTAAACAATCCCGCAGAGACATGTGCCTTTTTGCCTAAAGAATCAATCTTCTTACCCTCTCTATCTGGTGGAGCAGTCAGAGAGCCTTTAGGACGTTTTGATTTGGCTACCTCTGCTACCACAGTGTTTGGTCTCGGTGGAACCGTGACCCATCTAAATGCAGAGACATCAATTTTATACACCGAATCTAACCTTTTAGGTATGGCAGGGGCTAAAGAGGGAGACATATCTACAATTTTTGCAAGTTTAAGTAAATATGGAAGAGCAGGTAAGGACAAAGATGGAGTGGTATTTTGCTCTTCGGAAGGGAACATCGGGTCGTCTACATGTTCCGGCGGTTTAGGTGCTGGAATGTCTAGACCCTTTATCATTCTTTCAACTAAGGCATTAAACTTATTAAAATCAGTTAACTGATTACATATGTTCTCCTCACCCCCCCCCCCCTTGTCATGTCAGGTGAATCAGATTCAGTCTCAGCATCATTAAGTTCAATGTTGGCATCAGCAGGTGCTATCTGCTCATTTATTAGTTCTTGTTCTTGTAGATTGCCAGCATTTGCAGTATCAGAGGGTGTAGCATTCGCACAATGTGGCACATGCGTTACCGCATTATCTATACTATTTGGTTGCGCATGAGTGGAGTTCTCTCTATGAGTGTTCATTGGATTCTCCTGGGAACCACAGGTAATATTTGCTGCATCATGTGCTCTCAGCTCAGAGACATTAATACTCGCTGAATGAGGGTTGTTATTGTTATTCAAGTTTAGTATTGGGAGGGGTAGTCCCTGCATCGGTTGCTGCACAAACATAAGTTGTCCTGACGGACCCATCTGCCAAAAGCCTTGGAAAGGCATGGAGCTAGGTACAAATCTCCCCCATCTTGTCGAGGAGCGTGGGCATCTGGAGCGTCTCCTTCTTCTTCTCGAATTATTGGAGGAGGAGGAGGAGGATGAAGAAGAGGAGGAAGACGAGGAGGAAAAGGAAGACCTTGAGCGGCGTCCCCTATGCGAAGTCGAGCGGTACCGCCCATGACGCAATCGATCGTGGCGAGATGGGGACCGCGATCTTCTTTGGCGTCTGGTTTGCTCCATCCAGGATCGAGGGGAGGGTGCTGACATCACTTGTCCTCTATTAGGCACCAGTCCCCTTCCCTCTGCTTGCATCATTTCCCCATTGTTTGGGGAACGTCTCTCTCCTTGCTCTTCGCCGATGCCAGCCGGCATCGGCACAGGAGGGGCAGGGATTTCGGTCCCGGAAGCGGCCGGGCCATTGAAGACGCCTCCAAAGGCGTGGCTTGTTGAGGGAAGGGCGGCGCTAGTTGCCGAATTGGAGTCGGCTTCCGGAGCGTATGGAGCGACTGCGCACACCTCTCCGCTCTCATTCAAGGACAGCCTCGGCATCGGGGGAGTCGAACCCATTGCCGGCGTCGACCCATCGGCTTGGGCTGAAACCGCAGAGGTATTTACTGATAAAGTCTTGGGTCTTTCTGTCGCTTTCGATAGAACTCCAGGAGTTCTAAGCGATTTCGCCGTCTGTATGGCTTTTTGGCTCTTATCGGCAGAAACGCTCCCTTTCTTTGTCGGAGCTCTTTTCGTCTGCACAGCCTGGCGGCCATTTTGAGGGCCGTTATTTTTAATTTTTTTGGTCTTCTTTTTCCCTTCCAGAGGTAAGGGAGTAGGGTTTACAGAGCTATTTTGCCCTTGATTGTTTTGAGGCATAAGAGCCTTTTCGTACAGCGTAGCCTTCAAACGAGCTATTTTGTTCTTCCTCGTTTGAGGCGTAAAAGACGCACAAACTTCACACGGTTGTACAAGATGAACTTCTCCCAGGCACTCTAGGCACAACGTGTGACCATCAGTGTCCGGTAATATGTTAGGGCAATTAAAGCATTTTTTAAAGGCCGTAGTCGCCATGTTATGGTTCAAAAACACTGTTAACGGTTTCCAAACGGAGGAGGAAGGTTCTCTCGCTGCTTGCTGAGCGCGGAAAAAAAGAGAACTGAGGGACGGCCATGACCGCGGGCTATATATACACGGGGGGGGGGGCGTGGCCTGAGGGAGTCCTAACTGTCACTTTTTAATCTCTAGAAGGTTCCGATCGCTGGACTGCGCAGGCGCAGGGTTACCATATGTGCGATTCACAGGAACTACGACAGGAAAATGACCCTAAACATATCACAAGTAATATAAAAATCCCTAATCTTTGCCCCAAAGCCTGCCTGCAATTTACACATGAGGTTGATTTCTACATGAGTATATATGGTACTTAAATATATATTTTTCCTTATACACCTTTTGCAAGCATTTTATCTTATTTTGTTTTATTCGTTCTTTGCTTCTTTACAATCCCATCTTTCTCCTGACACATTTTGTAACATGATCTTTTCAGTTCTCTGCAATTTACACTTCCACTTGCATTAGCATATTTTGTTGTTTCTCCAACGTTAACTTTTCAACATGCACTTAATGTCTTAATCTTTTCTTGAAGTTTCCTAACTAGCTTGTTGTGTAATTTATTTTGTTTTGGGTGTTCAAATTAAAACTCGCACAATGCTTTCTTCCAATTGGTTTAAAGATCTGACATGACTACCTTTGTTCAGTTTTGCAGACTACTCTAGATAACATTTCTAACAAACATTTATTTGCTTTTCAAATTTGGGTCATCCTCAATTAGAGAGGTACAGTGCAGAGAAGTGCCTTTGCACTGATAGCAGACGATTGATAAAATGCAGTGTTGGTAAAAATTATTGTTGTTTCCCATCCATTGCAAAACACACGTTACAATGAAGGTATCAATTTATTATTTAAGCATCAATTCACACAAGGCGTGTTCCATTCATGTGAGCTGGACCCAGATGCCCTCAGACACACGCTTATGTAGATAAATCAGAGCGTGGAAAAGTTATATCCATGCTGCTTTTTGGGATTTGTAATCAAATGTAATCTGTACCATATATAATCATATATAAGTCAACCTCATATATAAGTTGAGATCAGGTTTTGCAGCTAAAATAATTGAAGAAAACTATTCTTGGCATATATAAGAAGTCAATATATCTTACCTGTCTGGAAAACAAGCTCTTTCCCTCCTACGCCAGCAGCCTCCAGGTTAACAAATGCTCTAACTGATTTGGCCCAATGGTGCTGTGTAATGAAGCCATGGCTAGCCTGCATGAGAAGCAAAAATAAATGATGTCAAGGCACTACTTTTGAACACATTGGTTTGGCAAAATATTAACTAGAGTCCCTTCTACCCTGCAATATAAAATCCAGATTCTCTGCTTTGAATTGAATTATGTGGCAGTGTAGAGAGGACTAAGAGAAGCAGAATGCAAGCAATCTGAGAGCATTAAGTTAATTATAATACAACACAAAGAATAAAGGGGATAATTATGTCCCTGTTCAGTATGCTTGTCACAGAATATTCAATTTTTTTAAACTTTTCACTTTCTTAGCCATCATTTCCCAAGAGACTTTCCATCGTATCACTTGAACTTGAGGACAAGAAGTCTTTGTCTGAGATCTGTTTACATATAAATAGACAATAAAAAAACAAGTCAGTTAGAATAACAAACTATCTTCTGGCTTTGAAAAATGACTTATCTGAACCTAAAATTAGACTGGATCCTTCCCTCCTGGAAATAGCCTGAAATGGCCAATCATAGCTCACCATAAGACTCTGGACATACAACTGATTATTTCTTGGCCAAAAAGATTTAGAGGCATGGTGATGGTAGCTAGTACATCTCTCCGAACTCTGGAAAGACTGATTTGGCAGAGGTTCATTATTGCCTTCCTCTGAGGCAGAGAGAGTATGGCTTGCTCAAGATCACCCACTAAGTTTTTTATAGTTCAGTAAGGGGCTCAAATCCTGGTCTTCTGGAGCCCTAGGATCAACTAATGATTGCACAGAACTCTCAACAATGGCCAGTTTTCTTTTTTATATGACAGCCACCATTTTCTCAAGATGGCACCTATTAAACTGTTTGGGATTTTAAAGTATTGTTTTTGTTAGCTGTTTAGCCAGTGAACCCTATTTAAACTTTGCAGAGTATTCTTCAAAATCAGATTGCAATCTTCCAGCATGATTATCATACTTTAAAAGGCTACACTTTTGGCACAAATCTATCTTGTGCTGTAGACAGCTCGGCACTACCTGCATAAACTACCAGCATCTCTATAGGACTTCAGATAGAAGTTAATGTAATTGTTTGAAAAATGTTATTGCCTACCCACAATACCATTTTAGTGATGAAGATGTAGGGTACAAGTAATCTCATTCATGTGACCTAGGCCCGTGGTATGGAAAACTTTATAAGTCTGTCAATTATAGCCTTACCTGCAAGATACTTTCTTCTGCACCGTTAAACAGAAAGATAACTGCATGTTTTAAGGGTTCAGATGACTTTGAAAGAGCGTGCAGTATCTCAAGCATCACAGAACAGCTGACAGCATCATCACTGGCACCTTAAAATTATAAAACACTTAGTGGAATGGGCTCTTGCATCTTGAAACATAATTCCTATTTTTTTAATTTTTACTCATTTATCCTCATTCAGTCTTAATTTGTTACATGAAATATTCAAGTATTTTATAGAAATGTTCATTGTAAAAAATAATTTCCTTATTCACGTTTGAGCATTTTAAAGCACTTGGCATACACTCAGTTCCACTACTTCCCTGCTGGTTAGCATTACAAAAAGCAGTTTGCAAAATGCAGTATGACCCCCTTATCTGTGGGACCATTATTCATGGCTTCTCTTACCCACAATCATGGCAGCAGGACTCTGTCCTCACAATTTACTTGCCTTCTGCCCTGGCTCCCACAGTCCAGTCCCCATGTGCCAAATCTTGCAGGAGGCCCAGCTGTCGCTGTGCTTCTCTGAAGAACTGCTATGTTGGGTGAGGAAAAAGTCTTCCCTCCTACACCTGGCCAACAAAGCAATCCCTCTGTTTTGTTGCAAATGACCTCTTTTATCAGCAGGGAGAAGAGGGAAAACCAGACTTCCTGCTGGACTTGGCAGTTGGATAGGGGTGCTTTAGGAAGGACAGTACAGGCAGCTTCTATCCAAACATCAGTTATTGGGACAGCTGGTGAGAGGGGAACATAGCAGACTCCCTATTTTATTCACCTGTGGTTTCACGTGTGAAGTCCTGGAACATATTTTTGCCATTGATATGGGGATGTACTGTGTATCTATAGATCCATATCACAGGTAAAACACAACAGATTACTTCCTATGACAACTGAATTGTTTTTCAGGCATCCCAGACCTAAAAATCATAGCTTGAAAGTGAGTTCCTTTTCAACTGTTACATTTGCTTACATGTGACAGATTCACACAAGTGTAATTTGTTTCATGTACAAAAAGTAGATTTTTGTTTCTCATCCTGCTGCTGCTCAGCAAGCTTCTTTAAAAACTTTGTGATGGGATCAAGCATTGCAGGAAGGATGCACATGTTCCAAATTAAAAATCTCAAGGGAATTTGGAGTCCAATAAATATGTTGTTCTCAGTAATCTAGACAGTGTGTTCAGAAGTAGGGTGCAAGAAAAAGAAAGAATGCAATAACCATATTACTAATTTCTTGTATAATCTGCCTAGAACAGTATGCTTTAGCATAGTACTAAAGATATCAGAGACAAATATATTGTATACACTCATGTCCGTGCATTTTATTCCCAAAAAAATCAACCCGAAAAACCTGAGTCAACTTATACACAGGTCATTATAAACATCTTAACTCTTCTTTTTTAAAAAATGAACTATTTTATTCTCTGAAGAGTGGCAAAAGACAAGAGATTAGCCTATTCTATGAGAACCTGAAAGAAGCACCAACCACCTGTACTCTTTCTGCCACAGTGATCCTTCTGGCTTTTTTGAATGTCTTGGCAGGAAATGTTGGCGGCTCTTTGGTACTTCCCCACAAAGGAGCACTGAGGGAGCTCCTTTTAGGTTCTCCCAGGATGGACTATGGTCTCACTTTTCACATCTACTCAGAAAAAGGGATGGCTCCTTTTTCATAAGGATTAAGGCCCAACTTATGTTATGACCTCATTGAAGATGGTTTCATCTATATGGAAAGAGCTTTGACTACCACATAATTACTCTCAAATAATGCCTGTTCTCCAGGATATAGTACAACCGATAGTCAACATCCAGCAGACATTCTACTGGAAGTTGACCATAGAATCAAACTGCAGGCCTAGAAAGAATTCTTCTCTAGGCATCACTAGGACTTTCAGAATGATTCTATGATAAGCTTCGTCTAGAAGCCCAAAATATTGTTCACTTCGTGTTTGAAAAATATTGTTCACTTCGTGTTTGAAAAAAGGACAGAACATATAGTTTACAATTAAATGAAGTAAAATAATTTATACTGCAGATAACTAGGCTTTCTGTTTTACTGTTAGTGCTATATACAATTATATTACTGATTACTACAGGTGAAATCCAAAAACCTACCTATACTTAGATCTACTAAAATCAGTGGCACTTGTTAGGCACGACTAACAAGTCTAACAGCTTAACAAGTAAATATAACTCTTGTTTGTGTTGCAATTCAACTACAATAATTTCACAATTACATTCTTCCACATTAAAACAGAACACATAGGTCATTTCTTCCATTAAGTCACAGGAACTAAACGGCAAATTCTTCTCAAAATTGAAAAGTACTGTATAGCCTAGCTAGTAATGAAAAAAATGAAAACATATTACAACAGTTACATTACACTTTGAAATAAATGTGTAATAATTAGAAAAGGGATACCTATCTATCCATCCAAATACTAATTTTAATACTGATGCCATTTTAGAAACTTAGATTAATAAAGAAATACCCTATATGCTCACGTATAAAACTAGCAATTTTGCTCAAAAAACAACTCCCAAAACCTGGGTTGGTTTGACTCAATGTGAGCACTATACTCTTTTAAGTCTAATAAAAAAACAACCATACTCTTCTCTGAGTACAGTAGTAAAAGTCAAGAATTTAGTCTATCCTGGGAGAAATTAAAAGAAGCACCAATCTCCTCTCCTGTTTCCATCATGGGCTGCTTCTACCCTTTCTAAATGTCTGGGCAAGGAAAGGGCAGCAGCAGCAGATGGTCCTCTCAGTTGGCTTTGGTGCTTTCTCCTCTAATGCAGAATGACCCTCGACCTAGCCACAGAGCATATCAAATCCCTAATTTTTCTCCCAAAACCTGCTCTCAACTTATACATGAGATTGATTATGCATGAGTATGTTATCTAAAATATCCTAAAATTATTTTATTAAATAAAATCTAGGAGATGATGTCTTGCTATGAACCAAATCTTATTATTTCTTGACATTAGTAGGAAAAAATAAGGATTGTTTTAGAGTAATTCTTCACTAATGCAGGTTTTCAAATGGCATCAGAACAAAGAGATAGAGATCTGTTCAATAGAGCAGCTAGCACAAACTTCTTAGCATGTTGTGATTTCCTTCTCCCTCCAGTTACACCAAGTTTTCTGATTTACCTACCTAAAGTATTTGTTACAGAGTCAAAGTGGCAGTTGGATAGTACAGCATGTTCAGCTCCACTTCTGGGTTCCAGTTTAACTACAACATTAGTAATATTGTCATAGTAACTAGTGAACCCTCCAAGAAAGTCAAGACTGAAGGTGCCTGTTGGTCTTTGTATATCTACAGAGATGTTGTGGGCATGGCTGCTTTCTCTTTCAATAGCTTTAACTTGTTCCAAGAGGTAGTTTACTGTGAAGACTTCATTTTCTGGGCTTCCAACTGCTCTTGGGCCAATTGCAGTAATATTTTCTAGATACGCCCTGTAAGAGATGAAATTAAGCATCAGAAGTTTTATTTTGATGTATTGGTAGATAGATTTTAAGTGCAATGTACAGCCCTTCCAAATAAATTCTTAGCCAAAGAGGAAAGAGTTAAATCTGTTCGCGTATACACCCACATAAGCCTAATAACATTCCTTCTTGTATTAGGGTCATGGAGCAGAGGTCCACTGCTTAACATTCCACTGACAACCGGAACCAATGGGGGGGAAAGTTACAGAACAAGTTCTTAATACAGCCTCCTGTTGCTCATACACATACAGACACAGCAATGATTTGTGTACTTCAGAACTGCAATGTTTACCGGGATAGTGCCCAAAGAATTGAAAAATCTACATAATTTCATGTAGTGTTATCACAGGAATATGCTACATTTTCTTCAGTTTACTCCTTACCACATACAAGAGATAAAGTCTGTTTTGTCTCTGTTTACAGCAAATAATCTAGCATTACAGGTGTTGAATCTACATCTTTCAAACCCAACTTTTATCAGAATTGAGTTGATGGGAATAATGCTGTATTCCACCATAATGACCTATGGAAGGCTGAGATCTGTAGTTCAGAGAATTCTCAGCCTGGAGAACTCACAGCACCCCAGTTCTCTGAGAGTTCTAGTAACTTGTCAAACTACAAACCCAAACTACAAACACCATAGGATGTTGTTATGCCACTTAAATTGGAATCACAATGCTAGAACTGTGCAATGTGAAAGCCTGTTGCTATTAACTGCCATCAAGTCAACTGTGACTTCTTGACAACCCAATGAATGAGAAAATTCAGACACTCTGTTATCAACAGTCCTTATCCGGTAATGTATACTCAGGTATGAGGCTTCTTTGATTGAATCCATCCATCTGGAATGCAATCTTCCTCTTTTCCTTAGCAAGCATTATTGTCTTTCCTAGCGAGTCATGTCTTCTCATGATATGCCCAAAGTACCACAATCTCAGCTTAGTCATCTTAGCTCCACACAGGCAGTCCCTAAGTTACAAACACACAACTTACATCCAACTCCAAGTTAAAAATGGGGATGAGACAACAGGAAGAGGAAATCTACCCCAAGGAATGGAAATTCATTCCTGTAAGAGTTATCATTGGAAAAGGGGACCTCCATTGATTGAAGTTTTATCGCCATCCTTATTTACATGACAACCAACAATTCCAAAATCCAATTGTCACAGGGACAGAAAGTGAGGAAAAAACCCTGTGAGGAGGTGGCACAGACAGTAAGACTAATGTTCCGGGGTTGTTAACCCTTTCCTATGTTATCCTCAACCTTTAAAATTGGGGGCTCGAGTTACGTACAAATTACGTACAAATTCAACTTAAGAACAAACCTACAGAACCTATCTTGTTTGGGGACTTTATGTATACGATAAAAGTCTTTGTTTTGAAATTTTGAGCATCATTTTGCTTGCATGGGAATTTAATCCTCTACTACTGTGAGAGGATTAAAGCTTAGTGAGAGTTGTAAGTCCAAAATATATAGTTGTGTTTCTACAGATATGCACTCAAAATTGTTCATCACTATGAATTGTTCCTAAATAATGGGACCATCTATGCTCAAACTGAGATGCTGATGATAACTAATACAGAAAAGAGGTTCCCCACTGTGAAAAAACAGGAAAAGAGGAATTGGAAAAAAGGCAAGCATCAAATTAGGGGGAAATGAGAAAATAGCAGACAGGACCACAAAACCCTTTCACAAAGTGAAAGTTATGTGGAAAACAGTAGTGGTGAATGTTCTTGACCATGGAACATTTGGAAGCATCGGAACACATGCAGTTAAATGCAGATAAAATGTTTTATATGGCAGTATAGATCCAGCCCAATCTATTTTCTGCTGGTATTCACCTATTGAAGCTAGTAATGAATTGAGAACAATGGCTGTGGGGTGCTACATCAAGATAAATTTACACAATTTTGGCTGAGGGTTTGAACTAAACTGCCCACTATGAATAGCTGGAAAAGCAAACTAGAAACTTGCCTTCAGGGTTGATGATTAATGCTTGGAATTGTTCTTGCTTCATTTTCTATCCCATTGCAAACAGGCGTGGTATGACTTGATATGCTACAAGCAAAGCACAGAAGCACCTGTTCTTCTCCACATCTAACAAGGCAAGGAAGGCTTTGCCAAAAGAATGTTGCTGGATCGCCCATTGCTAACCAACCTGAATTCACTCTGAATCTGGACTGTTTGCCAAGGAGAGAGTGGAAAAAGGGACTTGTGCTGCTTCTTTTTGCCTCTGAAAACTGAGAAGACTGTCTACCTCTTCTGTACATGCAACATTTTTGTTAGGTCCACCTTCTGCAAAAGTGCCAGCCAGAATGAGCAGATGGGCTCTATTTTTCTTTTGGCATGTACAGTGGACAGAGAGAAGTAGATAGCAAATCCTCAGATAATTGCTGTCTAATAAGGCAAGTCAATATTTGTGACTATTTGATAAATGGAATGGGTTTGAATGGCATTCACCTCTGTGAGCCCTGTGACGACAAAAGAAACACATCTGGGTCTCAAGTCAAGCCATAGATATCCTTGATTGCAAAGGCACCTATGACTGCAACGCTTTCACTCACTCATCCACCTCTTCATGACAGTCACAGGACAAAGGAAAAGTACACACAGAGATTAACCATCCTTGGTTTGGAAAAAGTGTGAGCATTCTGAAAACATTTTCACGAGAGGATAATTGATCTCCAATAGATAAAGTGTAGGTGGCCAAACTTAATAAAATTATAATTCATGTTTTCTAAGGCCCCTTTCACACAGCTGTATAAAATCCACATTGAACTGGGTTATATGGCAGTGGGGGCCCTTCCACACAGCCATATAACCCAGAATATCAAGGTAGAAAATCCCACAATATCTGCTTTGAACTGGGTTATCTGAGTCCACACTGCCATATAGTCCAGTACAAAGCAGAAAATGTGGGATTTTATTCAGCCTTGTGGAAGGGGCCTGGGTTATAGGGCCCTTCAGGACATAACCAAGAACAGCATTTGTAGTTATGCTTGGATCACAGAACACTGCCAAACTTAATGAGCATCAGTGTCCTTTGGGAAAAGAAATACAAGCCACAGAGAGACTTCAGAACAGGTCTGTCAAAAACAAACAAACAAAACCAACAACAACCAAAAAACTAGTTCCATGTTTAATTGCAGGGTTTAAAAAGAGCTGCACAGGCCAATCCTATCTTTCGCAAAGAGAGCTAGTATGAACAAGCTCTGAGCAGAAAGGATGACATCTAGTACAAACATGTAAAGACATGAAAAGGGACTTAAGAACTCTACAGGAAAGTAATAATCTCACTCTATTCTGCTTTGGTCACATAATAACACTGAGTACCGTAATTCAAGAAGGATATTGAGAAGCTGGAAGGTGTCCAGAGAAGGGCGACCAAAGCGACCCAAGGTTTGGAAGCCAAGCCCTATGAAGAGCAACTGAGGGCATGCTTGGAGAAAAGAAGGCCAAGAGGGGACATAAATGGCCATGTTTAAACATCTCAAAGTATGTCTAATTGGGAGGAGGAGGAGGCAAGCTTGTTTTCCTCTGATCTGGAAACTGGGGGTTCTTCCACACAGCCATGTTTTGTTGTTGTTTATTGGTTCAGTCACTTCCAACTCTTCATAACCTCATGGACCAGCCCACGCCAGAGCTCCCTGTCAGCTGTGGCCACCCCCAGCTCCTTCAAGGTAAAGCCAGTCACTCAAGGATAACATCCATCCATCTTGCCCTTGGTTGGCCCCTCTTCCTTTTTCCTTCCGTTTTCCCCAGCATTATTATCTTCTCCAAGCTTTCCTGTCCTCTCATAATATACTTCTCTCCAGTGAGGGAGCATGGACTCATCTGATTTTCTTGCACTCTAAGGCACTCTCAGAATTTTCCGCCAACACCACAGTTCAAAAGCAGCTATCTTCCTTCGCTCAGCCTTCCTTATGGTCCAAGTTTTGCATCCATAGATTACTATGCGGAATACCATTGCTTTAACTATGCAAATCTTCTTTGCCAGTGTGATGTCTCTACTCACTATTTTATTGAGATCGGTAATTGCTCTCCTCCCAAGAAGTAAACATCTTCTGATTTCCTGGCTGCAGTCTATGTTTGCAGTAATCTTTGTGCCTTGAAATACAAAGTCTGCCAATGCAACCAGATCAATCAGTCTGGTTGCCATAATCTTGGTTTTTTTATGTTTAACTGAAACCCAGCTTTTGCACTTTTTTCTTTTGCCTTGGTTAGAAGGCTCCTCAGTTCCTCGCTTTCAGTCATCAAAGTGGTATTATCTGCATATGTAATGTTTCGTTCAGCAATTTTAACTCCAGCCTTGAATTCATCGAGCCCTGCACATCGCATGATGTGCTCTGTAAATAAGTTGAATAGCCCAGGTGAGAGTACACAGCCCTGCTGTACTCTACAAAGCCATATAACTCAGATATCAAGGCAGAAAATTCCACAATATCTGCTTTGAACTGGGATATTTGAGTCCACACTGCCATATAACCCAGTTCAATGCAGATAACATAAGAAGCTAAATGTGGCCAGCCTTCCCTTCCTATTTCTCTCCTTCCTTTTTTTCTTTCCTTCTCTCTTTCCTTCCTTTTCTTCCTCTTCCCTTCCTTCCGCCTTTTCTTTCCCTTCCTCTTTCTCCCCATTCTTCCTTCCCTGCCTCTTATTGGACTGCAACTCCTAGTAGTCCTCCTGATCAATCTACCTACTTACCCACCTCTATCTAATCTATCTATCTGGAGAATTGCTGGGAGCTGCAGTCTAGGAATAGGAAAATGGAAATATGCAGGGATTGGGATGCTCTCAAAGAAATCCAAGGAAAAGAAAGCTTGCATCTTGGAAGCAGTGCATTTGGATCATCCTCCTCTCCTAAAGGGCCTGGTCTGGGGGATGCTGGGAGTTGTAGTCTGGAAGAGAGTGTGGATATGTTATTGTGTGTTTTGTTTGCTGGGGGAGTCTTTTTGCTTTTTTGGCTTTTAAAGTCCCTTCTGCTGTGTTTTTCAGTGTTTTGATGAGTGATGGTCACTCATTCTTCTGATACGTGTATTGTGTCCAAATTTGGTGTCCAATCATCCAGTGGTTTTTGAGTTATGCTTATACCACAAACGAACATTACATTTTTATTTATATAGACTAGCCATTCCCTGACATGTGTTGCTGTGGCCCACTCTGTGTATATGTGTTTTGTGTGTGAATGTGTGTGTGTATATATATATATATATGTGTATATGTGTGTATATGTGTATTTATGTGGTTATGTGCATGTGTTGTAATGTTGTTGTTGGGGTTTTTTTCTGCTCTTTAAGTCTCTTCTGCTGTGCTTCTCAGTGTTTTTATGAGTGATGGTCACTCATTGGCCTGATAGATGTATTATGTCCAAATTTGGTGTCAATTCATCCAGTGGTTTTTGAGTTATGTAAATACCACAAACTAACACGCACTCTACGTGGGGCTGCCTTTGAAGACTGTTCTGAAACTTCAACTAGTCCAACGGGCTGCAGCCAGATTACTAACTGGAGCGACATACAGGGAGCACACCACCCCCTTGTTATGTCAGCTCCACTGGCTGTCGATCCACTACTGAACTCAATTCAAAGTGGTTGTTTTGACCTATAAAGCTCTATATGGTTCTGGCCCAGCTTACTTGTCCAAACGCATCTCCCTCTACATCTCGCCTTGCAGTTTAAGATCATCCAGGGAGACCCTGCTTTCTTCAATCTACAAGAAAGGAGATTCCATCTGAACATTAGGAAGAACCTGACTGTGAGAGCCGTTCAGCAGTGGAACTCTCTGCCCCAGAGTGTGGAGGAGGCTCCTTCTTTGGAAGCTTTTAAACAGAGGCTGGATGGCCATCTGTCAGGGGTGATTTGAATGCAATTTTCCTGCTTCTTGGCAGGCGGCTGGACTGGATGGCCCATGAGGTCTCTTCCAACTCTATGATTCTCGCTCCCACCAGCATCGCAAATATGTCTGGCGGGGACGAGAGACAGGACCCAACGAGGTAAGTTCGGCTTCATCCCTCCTGTCTTTTAGGAAGAAATTGTAGTTGTCGTTCTGGGACCAGGCTTTTGGACAGCAGGCATATATAGCACTTTGGATATGGAATTTAATTAATATTCTATTTATTGTTTTAATTGTTGTTATATTGCTTTGTTATATTTAATGACATCAAACGGTGTCAAATTTAACCCGTCCTGAGTCCTCCTTCGGAGGTTGAGAAAGACAGGGTAGAAATACTGGAAATAAATAAATAAATAACATTACATTTTTATTTATATAGATGTGGAAAGGGCCTAGTAATATAATAATAATAACACTTTATTTGTACCCCACTACCAAGGGACTCGGTGCGGCTTACATGAGGCCAAGCCCAAATACAACAATACAAGCAATAATAATAACAATACAAGCAATTAAAATAAAAACATGGACAATAAAATAACACAACATTAACAATAAAACCACACAATTAAAACTGTGAGAAGGCCAAATGTAAAATTAAAATTGGAAGTAAGTAATGCTGGAACATGGGCGAAAAAGTGATGGGGCATTTGTGGAAAACATACAAGCAGACCTAAAAAATGTAAAGTGCTTTGGAGGACAAGGTGCTATGGAATCATTATTGTGGGAAGGCACACTGGAACAACCACGTCTTCAAGCTCCTCCTAAAGACTGCCAGAGTTGGGGCCTGCCTGATGTCCTTAGGAAGTGAGTTCCAGAGTCAAGGGGCCACCACCAAAAAGGCGCTCTCTCTCGTCCCCACCAATCGCGCTTGCAATGCAGGTGGGATTGCGTGCAGGGCCTCTCCAGATGATCAAAGAGATCGTGTGGGTTCGTATACAGAGATGCGGTCACACAGGTAGGTGGGTCCCAAACCGTTCAGGGCTTTGTAGGTAAGCACCTGCACCTTGAATTGGGTTCGGAAAATGAATGGCAACCAGTGGAGCTCCTTGAACAGGAGGGTTGACCGCCCCAGTTAACAACCTCCTGTTGTTGGACCATCTGGAATTTCCGAGCCGTTTTCAAGGGCAACCCCACGTAGAGTGCATTACAGTAATCCAGTCTAGAGGTGACTAAGGCATGGACCACCTTGGCCTAGGACAGGGAGCAAGGGATTCAAACTGCGGGGGGGGGGGGGGGGGGGGGGGGGGAATTCCACCTAAACTTTAAGAAGAACTTCCTGATTGGAAGAGTGTGGTGGAGCAGAGCCTCCTTCTCCGGAGGTTTAAAAGAAGAAGCTGAGTGGCCATCTGTCGGGGGTGCTCTGATTGGGTGCTCCCTGAATGGTAATTCCAATGAATCTTTCATGAGTTTAAGCCAGGCCTGGGCAAACTTGGGTCCTCCAGGTGTTTTGGCCTTCAACTCCCACAAGTCCTCACAGCCTTAGGCCCCTTCCTTTTCCCCCTCAGGCGGAGGGCCCAAGTTTGCCCAGGCCTGGTCTAAAGAATGGCCGGTCTCCCTTCAGCTGCGTCCCTTCAGAAGCCTCCTCCTCCTCCTCTTCCCAGGGTTGCCATGGAGATCTGGGGATGGGGGGGGGCTGACGTTACCTGGCGCGCGGGGCGCTGAATTCCTTCGGGTCGCGCGCCGACTGGACCAACCGCTGGAAGGAGAGGTGCACGAGCCCGCGCAGCGCGAGCCAATAGAGGAGCAGCCCCACCGCCACGCGCCACTCCGGCAGCGCCACTGGCAGCCGCAGCCTCCCAGCCTTCTTCCAGTTCTCTCCATCCTCCTCTTTCTCCGGATGCCGCTGCCGCCGCTTCTGCTGCTGTTGGGCTTGGTGCGAGGAGAATTGCTGCTGCTGCTGTGTCCGGAGGCGCCTCACGGCCCCGACCGCCGCCGAGCTGCGCTCCATGAAAGCCCGGCGCTCGCTTCTTGCCCTTGCCTTGAGGACTCGAAAGCAACGCCGGGGCGCTCTGAGTACGGCAGCGGATGAGGGCCAAAAGTGCTCCGAGTGCCTGTCCCTTCGCGAGGAAGGAGGAGGTGGAGGAGAACAATAAGTAGGGAGGGAAGGGAAGGGGGGGAGGCAGGCAAGCAAGAGAGCGAGCCTCCTCCCAAGGTCACGTGGGGAGAGTGGCCTATGCCCCGCCCCCTCCCTGGCTCGCCTGCCAATCACCGGGGAAGGAAGGATAATGGGATGGGCCAGGCGCGCACACCTACCTACACAGTGGACTCTATGCAGTTTGACAACACTTTCACTGCCGTGGCTCAATGCTATGCAATCCTGGGGATTGTCCTTTCACAAAGCCTTTATTCTTCCCTGGCAAGGGGTGTTAGTGCCTCCCTAAACTACAAACTACAACTCCCAGAATTCCATGGTATTGCACCGTGGCAGTTGTGTTTTGTTTGTTTGTTTGTTTTTAATGCAACACAACTGTATTGGTTCGCTGCTGACACGATAAATAAATAAATAAAGTTGAAGTGGTGCCAAACTGTGCTAATTCTGGGTTGCTGTGAGTTTTCTGGGCTGTATGGCCATGTTCCAGGAGCATTCTCTCCTGACGTTTCACCCACATCTATGGTAGGCATCCGGCCATGCTCCAGAAGCATTCTCTCACATCTATGGCAGGCATCCTTAGAGTTTGTGAGGTGTGTTAGAAACTAGGCAAGTGGGGTGTACATACATATCAGTGTGTGGAATGTCCAGGATGGGAGAAAGAACTCTTTGTCCGTTTGAGGCAAGTGTGAATATTGCAGTTGATTAGCATTAAATGGCCTTGCAGCTCCAAAGCTTGGCTGCTTCCTGCCTGGGGGAATCCTTTGTTGAGAGGTGATTAGCTGGCCCTGATTGTTTCTTGTCTGGAATTCCCGTTTTTTTAGTGTTGTTCTTTATTTACTGTATAACAGCAGGCTGTTAGGAATTGCGGGAATTTAAGTCCAAAACACCTGGAGGGCCAAAGTTTGCCCACGCCTGGTGTAGATGCACCTCTGGCCGCCCACTTAGGTCAGCACATTCACATGGGTCCCATATTTCTGGCCTTTTCGGCAGGAAAGAAGTGCAGTACACTCTCAGGGCCCTTCCACACAGCCCTATATCCCATAATATCAAGGCTGAAAATCCCTCAATATATGCTTTGAACTGGGTTCTCTGAGTCCACATTGCCAGTTATCCAGTTCAAATCAGACAATGTGGGGTTTTATTCAGCTGTGTGGAAGGGGCCTCAGATAACTGAGGGCCCTTCCATACAGCCCTATATCCCAGAATATCAAGGCAGAAAATCCCAAATTATCTGATGAGTGTGGACACAGATAACCCAGTGTTATCGAGCAAGAATTTGGGGATCTTTGCCAGGAGGCAGAGACCAATCAGACCCACCAAAGAGAGTCTGTTTGCCCTGCCGAGATGAAAAGAAGCACCCAAAGATTTTCCCCTGATTTTTCCCAATAAAAGTCTCACCAAGTTGAAGAAAAGCCACAGAGTTGTCTTTATTTCATCCCAGCTGGTACGGATGTCAAACTGTAATCCCTTGCCAAAGCTGACATGCTTGGTAGGGCAAAAGTGTACATATTTATAGAAATACAGAACTGTCAAATTCAGTTGGTCTTTGGTTTCGGCCATGGGTGTGAAGACAATAGGTGAGGCGGATGGGGCACGCAGATCCTCCTGAAGGCAAGATGTCTCTTTATTGATGAGTGATTGAGTCACCATGGGGTGCCTCCTTCAGGTGGCCATGCTCCGAGGCCTGAGGGGCACCATTGTTTCTGTCCATGCAAGAAGTCTTTGTTGAGTCCTTATAATCAATGGGGAAATCTATCTCAGGAAATGAAGAAGAATTTCCTAAGATTTCGGCATGCTGGGGTCACGAAAAGGGTGGCATTTCATATTTTATACACAGACACATATATAGGGTTCATAAGGCATACATTGGGAAAGAGGGAAAAGAAATTCATATCAACCCATCCCACCCACCAGAGTTCATTTAAGACCTAAAATCATAATGGAAATCCATAAGGTTTGAGGAGAAAAAAGTTTCTAAAAAGTTTCCAAAAGTTCCAGAAGTTGATCAAAGTTCAGGGAAAGTTGCGTTCAAATCCCCAATCAGCTGTGGAGGAAATCCATTGGGGAACCTTTGTCAAGTCACACTCAACTCATCCTCAAAAGAAGGCAATGACAGTCATTCTTGCCAGGAAAGCCCTATCATAGGATCACCATGAGTGAGAGCCAATCTGATAGCACACAATATGGTCCTATTTGGGGATACAAGCAGTCCCCAAGTTACAAACATCCGACTTCCAAATGACTCCTAGTTAAGAACAGGGGATAGACAACACCCCTTGGAAGGGAAATTCACCCCTGAAATAATTATCGGGGGGAAAGTGTCTCCACTGAAGCTTTTTCATCAATCCTTGTTTCCACAACAAGCCAACTCTTTCAAAATCCAATGATCATAGAGACAGAAAGCGAGGTGAAATCTGAACAGGAACCCAGACAGCAAAACAAACACCATGGGGGTGTTAACCCTTCCCTATGCTATCCAAAGCTTAGAGAGACAGAGACAGAGAGAGAGAGAGAGAGAGGAGATAGGCTGGAGTTACACTTAAAATGTACCTGTTCCTACTTACATACAAATTCAAGTTAAGAACAAACCTGCAGAACGTATCTTGTTTGTAATCTGGGGACTGCCAGCATTCCGTATCATACATAATATCCCATATTCAAATTTAAGCCAACATTTTCCCTCAAAGCATAGTAATGCATGATGACCTCAGATGACAACTACAAATAAGGGCCAAGTATTTTACATCCCTGGATCAACTCTGGGTTCCAAACCAAACATGTCTAGGAACATGTCCACTATTACAGTGCTATCTGTGTCACCCCGTGAATTCTTGGTTGTCCGTCACTGGTAAGTTTCCAGGAAAGGAAGGAACAAAAATGGTGCCTGTCCCTGGCATACTGGGGGAAAAAATAAATATCTGATCCTGAACATCTGATAGCCTGAGAGCAGAGAAACTCTGCTTTGTCAAGTGGAAACAAGTCCCAACTGGTCCCAAATTTAGCATATATCAAGGGTGTTTTGACATGGCAATGATAGCTGAAACAGACTCAAGACTCATTTCAAATGAAGGAACTATATTTCCAAGAAAACACTATGAAAAATTCATGAGAATGTTACGTATCAAAAGGTGACTTCAACATACGCACAATTAATTTACTCCACAACCTAATATAGAATATTTATTTTACAAAACATAGTTTTATCAGCATTCCAGAATAGGTTTATTAATGAAGAAGACAACATAACTAGCAATTAAGATTTTAACACTATTATATGAGAAACTGTATCAAAATTCTGGTTCTATCTACCTATTCAAATGGTGCATAATGTAAAGTGCAGAACACATGTGTTGTCAAGTCACAGCACTCCCTCCACCCCCCAAGATTTATAGTACACAAAGAGACTTCAGGCAAATAATATTATTTTTCCAGAATGGACCCAGCAGCGGTTGTACCCTACAAATTATTGTATCCTTTAATAAAATATAGCAATTTAACGATTTTCTGTATACCTTGTATCTTTTATGTACTATGTCAATCCCTAAAAGTATAAACTGTATCAAATGCATGTATCAAAATATCCCTTGAAGGCAACGACCTCCCTGTGCCCTCAATTTACATAATGCCTTGGGTAAGGAGATGATGGCCAGGATCCCTCCAGCTATTTCCCAAGACAGATAACTATCAGAGTCTTTATGTGTGTATACAAATAGATGGTCCTTATCAACAAAGTACGCTCTATGTGTTGTTGAAGGCCTCCATGGCCGAAATCACTGGGTTGCTGTGACTTTTTTGGGCTGTATGGCCATGTTCCAGTAGCATTATCTCATGACATTTCACCTGCATCTCTGGCAGTCATCGTCAGAGGTTTGTTCAGAGTAGATCTATGGATGTCTGCCATAGATACAAGCAGAGAGAATGCTACTGAAACTTGGCCATACAGCCCAAAAAAGTCACAGCAACCCGAAGTATGCCCTTCCCTTAGTCCAACTCAGAACCAATAGACACAAGGCTCTTTCATACTATGCAATTCTAATAAAATTATTCAAGTTTTATTGTCATGACAACATCTTACAGATCATGGTTTTGTAATCTGATGAACTTACTGACTGAAAATTCAAATTCTCTTCCCTGAATTACAGATCCCAGGATTCCATAGCATGAAACCATTAAATTAATGTGGAATCATAGTGTTATAACTGCATAGTGTGAAAAGAGCTAAAGATGGAGGGCACATAAACTTCCTTTTGTTGGAATGCTGTTAATGATGATTCAGCTCTGAGCAAGGGGCACAAAAAGATATCAAGAGAGTATCCCCCCCCCCCACACACACACACACTTTTTAATCCATGCAGGGAAGCCAGGGCAGTTTTGAAACAGAAACAGGAGGGAGAAGAAAAACAACCTGCTTGCAAAAAGTGGGGGAGAGGCAGATAATCAAGCCCACAGATGCCCAGGGGCGGCTCAACCCATTGCGCAAAGTAAGCCTTTGCAGTACAGTTGAATTTGCCCAGGGGCGCTCTTGAGGAGCTCTTGGGGGAAAATAGACCTTGACATATGCGAGTTGTAGTTACTGGGATGTATAGTTCACCTACAATCAAAGAGCATTCTGAACTCCACCAATGATGGAATTGAACCAAATATGGCACACAGAACTCCCACAACGAACAGAAAATATATATCAGTGATTGTTTGGGGGGGGGGGCATCAAAATACTGTTTGCTTACAATTGAAAATTACCCAGGGCAGCCTCTGCAGATGCCCCATGAGAAAGCAGTGGGATTGGGAGGCATTGACAGGTTTTACAGCCCACTACAGTCATGGAGGGAAGGCAAACTGCTCATGTGATAGCTATCAGCCACAGATGTGTTTCTTGTTGTTGTTGTTCATTCGTTCAGTCGTCTCCGACTCTTCGTGACCTCATGGACCAGCCCACGCCAGAGCTCCCTGTCGGCCGTTACCACCCCCAGCTCCTTCAAGGTCAGTCCAGTCACTTCAAGGATGCCATCCATCCATCTTGCCCTTGGTTGGCCCGTCTTCCTTTTACCTTCC